TGTAAGTTGAAATGGTAAATTGGCCACCGTAACGATTACAAAAGCTGACGTTTCGAGCGTTAGCCCTTCGTCGGAGCGAATAGAGGAATTGTGGGTTGTGTGTGCTTTTAAGGGCAGAAAATGGAGCTACGTGATTGGTGGGAACATGGCAACGAGAAAAACATGAATAAATTAGTGGAATGAAAAGCGTTCGTTGATCCCTGTGGGATTTAGACTGCCGGTTTGAAAGATGAGCTTTTGTTCAAGATTTTTACGATTGATACCAAGTGTTCTTAAGGTTCTTAATTTATCTCTATTACGCCATTATGTTAAGTTAATCCTCGTTTTGTCAAATGAAAATTAGAAACAAGGAACTGAAAAATTGAATTTTGCATAGAATTCAAATATTTAGTTGTCCGGGTCGTAAAGCACTCAGTGTAACAACGAGAGAAACCAGTCTTAAACGAAATCCACGAGTTTACTTGTAGTTCAACATAACGAGCCTCGACCATGGATTATAAGCTGGCAAGCCGTGACAACCTGTACGATGCAAAGCTAGAGTTAACTTACGAAACAAAATTCTGATCACAAAGGAGCTGAAAACCAAAGGGGAAAAACAATCTTAGCAAATGATTGAGACCACGGTCAGTATTAAAGCGGCGAGAAATCATAGAGCACATCATGTTTCGTGAAAGTTTCTTTCACGAGCGCTTCATGTCCTTCACTACATGCGAAGAAAAAACACGCTAGCCATCATGGTATATATTTTGTAATTACAAAAACCGGAAAGGAGGGGGACAACTGTTGAGGAATGGCTTCAACATCACTAATGAACTTGTTTTTTCAAAGTGCTAAATTTAAATTTTTGAATTTTGAAATTTTTTACTGTAATATTACCGTAATTCTTAACGCCAAAGGTAACAAACAGCTTTAAATCATGTCTAATATTTGGTGTCAAGGAATATGTCTTGTCTTCCCTTCCTTTCTTTTATTCGTCTTCTTCAAATGAAAGTATGGTTGTTTTTTTTTTTTTAATTTTACTCGGAATAGACTTGTACAGTAATTAGCATTTAAGAGGCCAGTTACCGCAGCTCGGCGCTCATGGTTTTTTTTTCTGATTTCAAAGTAAATGAGGTGGGCGTTTTTATAATTCTAGGTAAAGTTCTTAGATTCTGTTTTTTTAAGTTCAAAATCAAAAAAGGTTTATCTAGGAGGCCTTTACATTCTGAATGAAGGACAACTTCTCGCCCTCTAATATCATATTTCTTGGAGCGCCTAAAATACGCAATATGTGTGCAAACTTTATGCACATACTTTTGGTGTAAGCCCATTCTATATCCATAGGTAGATTTTGCTGGTTACAGATCTTTGCT